CTTTCCCTTCCTCTCCCCACAACAGACACACTGTGAGGTAGGTGGGGCTGAGAGAGCTCTGAGAGAACTGCCCTTGAGAGAACAGCTCTGAAAGAACACTGGCCCAAAGTCACCCAGCTGGCTGCATGTGGAGGAGTGGGGAATCAAACCCAGTTCTCCAGATTAGAGTCCATGGCTCAGAAACACTGGGAACCCCGCTAATGCCTCAGGGGCCCTCTTTGATTCCTTGGGCAGAGGACCAGCCCTGTGTGCCCAGCTGATGGGTCTGGTATGCTTCTGTTTGGGACATACACCAGGGGTTTCCTCCCTTTGTGCTGAGGTCTGTCAACACCAGACGAGGGCCCAAGCATGGTTTGAAGAGGCACAATGCAGCAACATTGCTGAAACAAAGCAAAACCGGACCTTCTTGTTGCTAGGATAAAAGAGCACCCAAGAGACAACCATGTAGACCACCTAGGGTTTAGGTGGAAGAAAGGCGAGATACATACGTAATAAAACAGAATGTGCCTTTTCATTTCTCTTCTGCTCAGTAAAATTGCTTCCTTGATCTGTTCAGGTGATTATGGGCTTGCTGAAGTTCTGGCCAAAAACACATAGCCCCAAGGAAGTCATGTTTCTGAACGAACTGGAAGAAATTCTGGATGTCATTGAGCCTTCTGAGTTTGTGAAGGTTATGGAACCTCTCTTCAGGCAGCTGGCCAAGTGTGTCTCCAGTCCACACTTCCAGGTAGGTTCAGGACACAGGAAGGGGGCGACAGCTTTATGTTCCGTTCACCTGTGGAATTACAAGCACACTGGTACATAAAACATAAAACTTTTGCAAAGCAAAAGTTAATAAAACGTATCTTGTTGATCAGGATGTCATTTAACAATGGTACAAAGGAAGAGGTATCTGGGGACAGTCATAAACTTATAGGAAAAGACAAGGTTGCAAATAACCTCTCACCTAATTACCTGTAGTAGGAATTGGCCTCAAAGGGCTAGGCAAGTCCCATGTCAAATTCTTCTTTTTAGCCTCGAAGGCCTCTTGACTCTTAACATTAAGTGGCGGAGAGATCAGTCTCTCTGAAGTTCACAGACTCCAGAATGCAGTGTCTTCCTCCTAGAAGTTAAGTGCTGGTTTGTATGTTCCTTCTTTTGGAGGGGAGATGAAAATGGCAGCCCTTTGACCTTCATCGTGGCCCAGTCTTGAAGAAAATCTGAAACTGCCCGTGGGTCTTCCTGAAAAGCAGAAGGAAGCATCTCCATACACGGTCTTCACAAAACAGCCTCTCTTGAAAGGGGATATATATATTTTTAAAGCAGAGTGCTCTCGTACTCTCTGTTCCCTTCTTGAGGAGATCATCATCTTGAGTGCCTTTGAGTTTCTCATAGTGATTTTGAAGCCAGTCTTAAATTCCACTACAGGGAGAAACAAACTGAAGTCCAGCAGGTTTTCTGTTGTTCTTTTTGAAGTCTATGGCTTGGATTTCTTCCTCCCACATCGGACCACTGTCTTCCTTCTCGTGTTGTTCCTGGGGCCCCCTGCCTCAGAGTGTAGCAGAGTTTCCAGGAGCATTTCAGACTGCAGCAGGAGAAAGAAGATTTTAAAACTTTATTTCTCTTTACTTACGCAGGTGGCAGAGAGGGCATTGTATTATTGGAACAATGAATACATCATGAGCTTGATCAGTGACAATGCGGCCAAAATTCTCCCTATCATGTTCCCAGCACTCTACAAGAATTCCAAGAGTCATTGGAACAAGTAAGGTCACTTCTGTATTGTATGTAAACATTAAGAAATGTGCAAAGGAGAAAGCTGAGATTTGGTCTTCCACTGTGGGATACATGCAGATGACAGTGCTGTATTTGGTTGTTACTAATACTCCTTCACAGTGGTGAGAAAGAGAACAGCTTGGATAAGGAAGTGCAGTGAATTCTGGAAGTATGCAAGTACATACAGGAAAACTGAGTTACAAAACTTGTATGGAGGTAGTGGTTAGAGTGTTGGGCTAGGACTGGAGAAACCTGGGTTCAAATCCTCACTCAGCCATGAAACTTGGGTGATCTTGGGCCAGTCACAGTCTTGCAGCCTACCATAAATTACAAGATTGTTGTGCACATAAAATATGTGTTGGGGCAACCATGTAGACCACTTTGATTTCTCGGAGGAAAGGTATAATAATGGGTACTAGATAGGCCTCTCAATCAGACAGCAAGATTTACACAGCTGTGTGTTTCCTGGTAACTGAAACTATTTTTAAATCTTGTTTCCTTTCATATTGGATCCTGGTACTATGGTGTTGACCATTTTAATCTGTTCCTTTTTCTCCTCCCTCTGATAGCACAGTGCTTGTGGTGTCACTCAAATTCATTGTCTTCCACTTTCCCCCTTTTCCTCTTTTTGCAGGACAATCCATGGGTTAATTTACAATGCACTGAAGCTGTTCATGGAGATGAACCAAAAGCTGTTTGATGACTGCACACAGCAATATAAGGCAGAGAAGCAGAAGTGAGTATTCCGGGGTTCTCTGCCAGCACATCAGCCACTTCTTGGCATGTCATGGACCTCTTTCTTGGTGCTGGTTGACAAGAAGGATGAGGAGGCTGTGCCTGTTGAACTAAGGCCCTACAGAAAGAAGTTATTGATGTGGAGGAGGAAATTAGAATGACAGCAGAGTAAGGAGGAAAGAGCTTTAAAAACCTAAGCAACTGAGAAATTCCAGCAGGATACCTCAGGTCAAAAAGTGTGGGTTATTGCCTGGGAGAATGGTAGATCACTAGGTTATAAAAGGATCCGTTAAAGAAATTGTGGCTGGGCCATCCTCCTCACCTTCCTGAAAGGCAGGCCTGCTTAGTCTCTGGGATGTGAGAGCTTAACTGTGCCAGACATGACTAGTTCTCGGAAGTTCTGCATTTTATACACAGGAAGATTTGATCTGTAGGTTATAGGCTGCAGGCTTTTTTAAAAAGGAGGCGTTATTTGGGGTTTTATTGTATTTTGTATGTTTTTTAATTTGGAGTTCATGTCACCTTGAGCTATGGAAAAGGCAGGGTATAAATATTTCAGTAAATTAAAATGGCCAGATACCTAGAGAGAGGATGGGTTAGAAGTCTTTAAAAAAATTTCCTTTCCCTCAGGGGTCGATTCAGATTGAAGGAGCGAGAAGAAATGTGGCACAAGATTGAAGAACTAGCTCGCCAAAATCCACAGGTAATGATGACGTTGCACAGAGGGAAGATTTCCCCCCCCAAGCATTGTCACATTTCTGCTTCCTTAGGTTACAAGCCCAGAAATGGTTACCATCAGTGTTCCCTCTAAGCTGAGTTAGTGTGAGCTAGCTCACACAGTTTTGTCTTAGCTCAGGAAGGATGGCTCCGGAGCAAACTAATTTATACAGTAGCCAAATCGCTCCCTCACAACTTGAATGCCCTTAGCTCACAAAGTAGAATTTTTGCTCAAAAGACTCCATAGCTTAGAGGGAGCATTGGTTGCCATGGTAACATTTTTTTGGATCCAGTGGATACTGAACTGGGATTAGCCTTTGTTTAAATTGCTGCTCAGCCTTGGCTTCATTGGATGGCCCTAGATGAGTTGCTATCAGCTTCAGGTTTCCTCTTCTGTAAAATGGGAATAACAACCAGAGGAGCAAAATGAAAATTATCAAATGCAGCCTGAACCCAACGAATGTGTCTCTTAACAGTATATGCTAAAACAGACAGAACTGATTTGATTCTCCCCTTCTCAGCAAAGCATAATCCAAGTACTAAATATTGCTCGTATTTGTGATTGCTGACTTGTAATATGGTTGCTAGAAACCTCTGTCATAGCTTGGTAAATTGTTGTCATTGAAGTTATACTCAGCCCCTGAAACAGGAGAAATGGTTGGTACACAGAATTACATGGATAAGAAATCTCTCAGTTTCTGAATAAAGACTTATGTATACGCAGTGCCCACATTGCTGGCAGGGAGAACAGGAAAGGTAATCCATGGCCATGTAGGAAATACATGTTTTAGGCAGTGCATGAAACAGTAAGCACACACCTATGTGCTGTTTAATTTTAACCCTCTTATGCTTGTAAAAACCACTTTGGTAATTAGACACACACACCCCATTCAGTCTTATTTTTTCCACATTCCTTCAATCCCCAGAAAGGTCACTCATGATGATTGCAGGATCTGCACAAAGGAACAGCCACGAAGGTGGGCGAGCTAGAGCAAGGGAGGACACGGGGATGAAATTGCCTCTTTCCTTCAGCAGAGCTGTTCACGCAGAACAGGAAGAAGCAATTTTAACTCCTCGCTCTTCCTCGCTCCAGGCCCCAGCCCTCTGTGAGCAGCTGTTCCTTTACATGGGTCTCAGGAGCCGCAACCCTTAGACTGATTCCTCCAGGGCCACACTAATGGAGAAGAATAAAGGAATATTACACCTTCTGCTGGTGAAGTGGTAGAACAGTGGCCCCTGAATGGCTAAGAAGTCCTTCTCTGAGCAGCTGCATCAACATGAAGTAGCTGTTGTGGAGTTTCCAACATGTTGGGGTTGTTTATATGCCATCCTCTCCTAGTACCTTGGACGTGCTTCACTTTCATTTAAATGAAACACACACAAAAACCACAGAACAATCAGTCTCTTCATTGTAAGATAATGTGTGATATATTGTGGCAGAGTTTGAGACTTTCCCTTATAGGCTCAGTTATGGCCTCAATGGCATAGGAAGGTTCTGTGTTGTATCCAACTTAACCTTGAGGTCTATCTATATGTTTGTGTTTAAACATTTGGTGTATCAGTACTTGCGTTGCTGAGCTTGCATTCCCATTTTTTTGTGTGTGCTGTGTTCCTGCAGTATCCCATGTATTGCGCACCCCCACCTTTGCCTCCTGTTTATTGCATGGAGACGGAGACCCCCACTGCAGAGGACATACAGCTGCTGAAGAAAACGATGGAGACAGAGGCTGTGCAGGTGACTCATCTATATATCCCCAAACAGATCAGGAACTTTGGTTCTTGTCAGCCAAGTGGCATTCCTCTGGAACAAGCGAGCTGGCTCTTCAGGGATACAGAACTCCTGTCGTGTCTCTGCAGGCAGGCTAGACTATAACTGACTTTAACCTTTCTCTGTGAGAACGGGCAGTAAAATACATAGAGCCTCACTCTCTGCGGGTCTGATACGGCAGGCAGCAGGGAACATAAGGCCCCCAAGTTGGAAGGATTGGTCACTGTTAATTATTGCAGGTCAGTTGTGCATGGTGATGGTTCACAGATCATCACTCTATCTGACAATGTACTTGCGTAGCCACTGCTGAATTTTTGGCTAACCAGTGAAACTGAGGTAATAAAAAAGACATCCACCAGAGAAATTGCGATCCACCCCCCCCCCATCCATTTAGTGAGGGTTTTGTTTTCTACCATTACAAAATGTCTATTGAAACATGTTTAAGTCTCTGATAACTGTGATATACAGGTTGTGCAAAACAAAAAGCAAAGTGGAAAAGAGACTTTACTTGGTTCCAATCTACTTCGTGTGTGAATGGACAACAACAGTGAAGGGGATGGTGTTGTTGGTGAGGAGAGGCACAAAGTGAAAAAGGATTAAGCAGCTCAGTCAACCTGTTTCATTTATTTAAAACATGTTTATGCCACCTTTCCACCCAGTTCAGCATCCCAAAGGCAACCAACAGTCAAAACATAAATTTAAAAATGCATATAACAGCTACGGCTGTGAGGGTCTCAAGAAGGAATATTTGCCCCCCAGAGTTGCACAGCTTGAGCCATGTAGGCCAATGGCTCCTGTGCAGAAAACGTCTGAACTGAAGACATTGCCTGATAGGGATTCAGACTGTCTACCTGGCCCAGTACCATCAGCTCTGAGTGGCAGTCGGTTCTCCCAGCTGTCAGGCCAGGGTCTTTCCCATCCCTGGCTACTCAAGAATGTTTTAACTGGAGATACCAGGGATGAGCTGGGGATCTTCTGCATGTAAAGCATGTGTTCCTGTCACTGAATTATGGCCTCTGCATTGGTCAGCTGTAGTCCAACTTAGGCTGGATGTTTGCAGTCAGCAAGAGTGATGGCATGTTCTGGGGCCTATATACTGCCAAGGGGCTCATCACTGATTGCGTTCTCTTTTTGTCTGGCCTGAACCCAGGACTGCTGTTGTCCTCCCCCTCCCCACAGCAGCCATCTCATCCCACCTGCCTACTTCTCTGTTCTTAGGAGTCACTCCATCTAGCTGCACCTGCCTCTCTCAGCCAACACCTTCTGAAGCACCCCTTTCACCCTTGCAAGTTATCTTCCTGAAGCTAATGCACTTGAGTAAAATTTGTGAAATCCCTTCCTAGTACTGTGCTCCCAAAACTTCTTCAGCGCCAATTCAGTATGCCTATCAATCCAGTTCTGTAGAGATTATTGGAGGTAGTTAAAAGGTGGTGATAAGTTCGGGAGTGGAAGGCAAGCAGCTGTGGAAGGAATCACAGTAAAGTTGACCATAGAGCAGCTTTTGATTGGTACAGAACTCCCTTTCCTGCCTTGCGGACAGGGGGAGTTTCATGAGATTGCAATCCTAATGATACTTACCTGGAAGAAAGTCCTGTTGAAACCAGTGGCATTTATTTCTAAGTAAACATCCTTGGGATCATGCACAGCATGTGGTTTTATGGAGCCAAGAGACAGAGGAGTGCTTGTTTTCTGAACTTCAATGTTCTTGAGGTGTGAAAGGGGATTAATAGTAAAGCACACACACAGAGTGGGTGGTTAATAGTTCGACTTAAATTTGTCAAGGATTCACTTGCTTGCTTTTCAGCCCTAATGTTCCCCTATCTGTAAAATGGGATCTTTTCTAAATTCCTTACAGTGTGTTGCATGCATGTTCAACTTCACCTGTAGACTGTAGCTTGGCTTATTTTTCTTGAGTTACTTGCTTTGTATGTACCTCATTAGTTTCCACTTTCTGATTGTGGCATTGCCATACTGTGCGTTGTGGTGTAGTCAAGGGTGTGTGTGTGTGAACAGGCAGCTTTTAAAACTTTTTTTTTTAAGTTCTAGAATTGGCAAAATTTGCAGCAGCTACCTTTCATCATCATCCTGGGGTAGGGATTTGAGCACAGAGGGTAAACAAGCAGGTGGACCTATGAATACTGTGAGTCCCTGGGACCCACAGAACCTGGGGCTTGCCTCCCTGGTTAAATTTTACACAGGAGTGACCCGCAGTAAATGCCAAAGTGTAGAGTAGCTCTAGAGAAGAGGCTAATGCTTCCGTCATGGGAAGCAGTTGGCAGAACCTGCCTTCTCATTTCTTGTGATTTTGTCTAGATGCTGAAAGACATGAAGAAGGAGAAGGTTTTGCTGCGTCGGAAATCTGAGCTTCCTCAGGATGTCTACACTATAAAGGCTCTGGAAGCGCACAAGAGAGCAGAAGAATTTCTTACTTCGAGCCAGGAGACACTCTGACGGGCTAGGGAGCCCCTGGAGGGTACACAGAAATGCACTTTGTTCTAATGTATAACTAGGGAATGAACATGGTGAGCTGTGCCTGTCCTCCGCTCCATTCTCATTCTTTCAGGTTAGATTTGATTTTACATTGTACCTCATATCCCACCACACTGTCACTTCCTCTGCTTTATCCTCTTAAAGCTGTTCTTGTGTGCACGTGTGAAGGGAGCCTAGCCAATCCATGAAAGTACCATTCCTTGCAGGGATCATTCCATTTCCTGCTCTCTGACTCCCAGCCTCACAAACCAAAGCAGAGAGAGTTCAGCAACTTATTAGCCGCACACTACAGTGACTGTTCACTACAGCCGCCCGGCACTTGTTTATATACCATTTTTCATACATAACCATAAACAGACATTGTACATGAAACTGACTAAGCGGCTCAAATTCAATCTATGTTCTAAGGCTCAAGGCATGCTTGTTCTTTTGGGACCAGGCTAGATTTGGGACCAGTGTGTTGCTTTTTTCCACATTCAGTAACTGGCTAATCTATTGGAGAACTCTATTGTTTTGATCCATGTGAGCAAGGGTGACAGCGTCATGCAGGAGACTTTTTGCTTTTGGTTGTGTCTAGCACAGGGATTAAAAGTCCTAAATTTTTGTTAATAAAAATGAAGTCAAGCAAAAATCTGCACACACTATTCTGTTTGCATAACCCCCACCCACCCTGAATTTGTGGTGCAATGGCAGCTACACATAATTCTAAATCCATCGCTTTGGGCTTTGTGGTAGTTTTTCATCCACTCAGAGCGAGACTAGTTGATTTATGTGCCTGATAGCTAGCAGCTGCTGTGTAGAAGCCTCAGTTAGGGTTTGGTTGACCTCCCACTTCAGCGTCTCTGTTCTCATAGCTGTCTCAGCTAAAACAGGAGCGAAGGTAACTCTTAAGTGGTCTTGTACTCACACCAGCTTCTGTGTCAACTGTGTAGGCACAGGAGGAACTCTGAATGAATGCTTACTAAAAATAGAAAGCTTGTGGTGGAGTTTCACAATGGCTTTTAAACATTTTGTCTATTGGGAACAAGAGAAGAATATTGACTTCACAAGCTCAGAAACTGGCAACCAGCCCTCCTCATTTGGAACACATTTGGTCTTATTGGGATTGGGTTCAGGTTCATTTCAGAGGTTCTGTCCTAGAAACCAAACAGTGTGTGAGAAGGGGAGAGATATACACACACATACATGCACGTAAAGTAGACACTTTTTAATGGTGTGAGTTAATTCAGAGCACTAGACCAGTTTTCTTTGGCTACTGCTGCCCTAATAGTAACCGCTGGATTCACTTAATGTGCTGCCATTGCTCTCAAGCTGCTGTTTTCAGAATCATGGAAGGTTACAAAAGGGAAAAGGCCCTTATAGCTAATCTGTTCCTCCTCCACAAGCTGCCTGTTTTATCAGTTCTAATCATATATGCTCACTGCCGGGTTTTCCCTCAGATTCTAGCTTCCAGCCAGTTGCTGCTGGTATCTCAGACCAAGGCTCCAACCCTGAGCATATCTACTTTGAAGCAAGACTCACCTGACATCAGTGAGATTGATGAGTTATTGATTTAAGATCAGGCTGTAACCTAACTTTTTAAATGCTATGTACAATTCCTGTTTTTCCTTGTTTAATCTTTGCACAGTGTACTGCCTTGTCTACTTACTATCCACACAGTACTCTTAATGCTTCTTTCTTCTGTACCTTGAACCATTTATATGTACTCCCTCAGACACACCTGTATCTTGAGAATAGCCCCCCCCCCCCGCATCTGTTTAGTGGTCTTCCAGCCATTAGAAAACTGAATAGTTAACATCTGACAAGTGGGAATTTACCAGCTGTTCATACTGGCAGCTAATTCACAGTGTTGCTCTCCTTAACCTGCAAATTGCACTTTGGGAAGAAGAGTTGCTGCTAATTCTGTGTCATGTGACTTGGCTGCCAACTGGTACTGTCTTACCTAGCTTATCTGCTGCCAAAATATCTTCAAATACCTATCTTTAAAAATACCATCTGGCTACCAACTTGTTGTAGTCCTTAATGTCCTTTGTGCAATGCCTGTAAAAATATTATTGCTAAAGGGAGAGAAAGCTGAGGCAACCACTGGAGAAGCAAAGAAAAAAACTGAACAGAAAAGTTTTGCCTGATGTTCAGTATGTGCCTGGTTAGCCTGTAATCGTCTAGTGTGGTTCAGATGGTAGTGAGAAGGAGCTGACTTAGAACTCTTCTACTCTAAAGTACAATTCAGTCCACCTGTTCATCCCCCCTCCATGAGGCTGGGCTCTGCAAATAAGAACTGGAGGACTTTTCTCCCCTTTACTTTTCCATAGGGATGCAACATGGCACTCCTCTGCCTTTTACAGTTTTGCACTGGTGGAGCAGGGCTGCAACTGAGCATCTTGTGCTGTACGGCTTAGATGTAAATATAGCCCTCTGTCATCTTTGTTTGGGGGTCAGGGAAAGTTGTGTTTCGTACCTAACATTAAAGTTTAGTTTGCTGCCAATTCATTCCAGTGTCCTATGTATCTCACAGGTGGGGGAAGCTGTGTGAAAAATGGGGTGAAAATTGACAACTCAAGCCAAAACAAACACCTCAAGCACACAGCTTCAGGTCACTATCTACCTTAATGCAGCTGTACTTAATTTCCTTGCATTATTTGTCCTAGTTTCTGCTTGTACCCTTCTCCACTTTTTTACATGGACTGGGTTGGAGTGGCCTCTTTCACTTCTTACATAGTCCCTCACAAGAGGGGGGGGGGAAGCAAAACTAAATGATGCATTCACTCTCTGGACACAAGTATTAAGCTGCTTTACAGTTCATATGTACATATGGTGTACTTTATTTTCAGTAGAGTATTACATAGTATGACAGTGTTGGATTTTGTACAGATGTCCCTGTATGTACAGAACTAAATAAAATGGATCTCTTGAAAAGATGACACCCTGGACTCCACCTTATGGCCCCTGTTTAGCTCTTTAGGCTATAAGCTAGTTGGGAGGGAACAACAACAGGGCTAGACAATGCATGTCAAAGGAAGAAGGGTCCTATCACAGGGGCTGATATTTGAGTGGCCTGCTTTTCAAGGGCCAGAAAATAGCCTCCTGGCCCAGGCCCCCACAACAGTCACTACCACCCACTAGCTACAATTTAAGAGTTACAGACAACTGATACATTAGAGTCACATTATCAATGCAACAAGAACAAAGAGCTTCAATGCTGGTGGAAGGTAAGTTTCTACCTGACCAGTTCACAGAAAGACAGAGATTTAAAGTGCAGCATTTCATACTCAGCAAAAAGTTTCCCTTCTCGGCAGGGAATCTACTATCGGATCTGCATCTTCATTTCCATTCTGGCCTAGAACTGACTGGATTCTGCCGAGCTTGCAGTGTTCGCTGCACCATAGCTTGCCACTGATCATCTGAGATCTCACTGGCCCATGAAGGTATTCCCAGTGTGGGAAGCTTGACTCCAGCCATTGTCCGTTTCACCAACTCCACATGTTCTAGAATTAAACAGAGCTGAAGGATGAGAGATACTGCTTCAACCAACAAACAAAATCCCAGATATGCCAACATAATCACCTTTCAGGGTTTAATATTCACAAAGTACATGGAAATTGAAGGCAGCTAACTCCCAATTAACTGATGCTTAGGAAGTAGCTCCATCCACACAGGAGTACGTGCAACAAACTTAAGCAGGATAGGTACTGCCCCACAAATTTTTACATCAGATCACTACAGTATCTAATCCACGTGAAACAGCAACAATTAGGTAACAAACCAGAGGCTTCTATACTCAAGTTGCTGGCTTGAAAATATTCTAGTTATTAAAGGTTAGAATAAACTGACTTGCAGAAATAAAGACAAAATGTTATGAGAGCAAGTGGGATGGAGAAGATACCGTAGTAACTGAATGTAGGTAAGTAAACCTGGGTTCAGATTCCACTCAGCACTAATGTCACCAACCCTTCCTCAACTTTATCAAGCTGTTCATTTATTACCATATCTATACCAGGGCAATTCTTGGAGGAAGTACAGGATAGAATTGTGACATAAGTGCCATAGAATAACAGGACCATAGACCTCAGGTGTCAACTTGATATAACAGAAAAAATATATTAGAACTGTAATAGTACTTGGCATCCAAAATAAAGTTTTGTGTTATAAAGGTGGCATTGTTTCACACAGGTTACTATTATATAATATCAATAAACCATTTCACATTTGATTGTTACCTGGATCCATAGGGATGGAGCTTCGGCTGCTCTGGGCTGTGGATCCTTCTTCCTCATCACTGTCCACAGGTGGATCAGGCAGGTGCAGTCTCATTGCCTGCATTCAGTGCACAAAATCCATTGGAAGTTTAATACAGCACAAAGACATGCTCATATTGGGTTCTATCCCTAGCCCCAGGGTAGGTTCCTGTAAGAAACAAAAGTGCTACCTGAAGTCGCTCACGGATGTCAAGGACTGGCTCTGTGCTGGGTTCTGTTTCTTCAATGGTTGCTGGTCCCTGGTCTGGATCTTGGTTCAGTGGTTGATATAAGTAGCCATGACTGCCTTCTTCTTCTTCCTCCTCCTCCGGTTCCTCACTACTCCATTCTCCAGCAGGATCAGGAGTTCCATCAGATGTCTCTTGTAGCCCCACCTCTTCATGCTCATTTGGACAGATCCTCTCTGGACCCATTCTCAGAGTTATGACCGGCTCCAAGGCCATGCACTATAACATGTTGGGAAAGATGGAGTTACATCTCCACAACTTGCAAAACAAACACCAGGAAACTAAGTCCAAGAACAACTTGCAAAACAAACACCAGGAAACTATCTAAGTCCAAGGAAAGAGGTATCACCTAACCCAAACAAGCTGGGTGGGGGAGAAGAACTAAGGTAGTATTAAGGAACCCTAAGATTCAATGAGAAAGACCTCAAGCTTAACTGGGCTGTCCTGCTACATAATATATGCCATTGTAGCTTGTTGATGTAATCATACTTGACAGTGAAATCCTGGGTTCCATGGAAGCTTACTTGGGGATTCTCACTAATATTACTCATAGGCAAGTTTATAAAAAGAAGCCTGCAGAGGGAAATCAACAGTGGGCAACAGATAGCCACAGGAGACTACTGAACACTTCTATGGTGTGCTTTTTTCATATAAGCCCAGTAGTCCTGGTCATGAATGCAGAAACCAAAAGTGCATCCTCAGACATGCCCCAGAATTTAAGCAACGCATGTTGTATCTTTACACAACAACTTACCTAGTACAATTGTCAGAGGAGGAACAATGAATGAACAAGCTATTTTCATATCTCAAACTTGCTAGTGTTTCTCTAAGTCTTTTAAGAAGTTAACCACTCTCTAACACCTCCAATCAGCTTCTCTGAAGAGAGATACTTTTATTCCGCCCTTCATCCAAAGAGCGTAGGATAGTACACCTAGCACCATTTGGTTATAATTGTTTAGAAATGTGATTTTATTATGTATGCTTCAATTTGTTAGCTGCTCTGGTGGCCCTTGTGAGGGTAGAAAAGCATGATATAAATTTAGTAAAATAAAAAATATAATACTACAATAGCCCTGTGAGATAGGACAGGCTGAGAGTGTGCGACTAATCTAAGGTCACCTTGTGGGCTTCATGGGTGTGTGCATGGGGGTATATAAACTCAGATTTCCTCAGTCACGGTCAGATACTAACCACTACATTACAATAAAGCTTTTCCACAGTTCTGAGTCAGCACTTTCCCAGAGCTTTTGGTGCATTCTGTGTGCCAAAGATATTTTGTGGGGGTTTTTGGTCAGTATATGAAAGGATATAGCCTGCTCCAGACAGTGGGATATCAGGAGTCAGTTGAGTCCATGCTCCAATAATGCTCCCCAGTCTACCCCTTTATCTCCTACAAACAAATGGCTATTACTATCTCCTGTGGAATGAAAACAGAAGAGCAGAACTTGATGGCAATGATGTATGACTGGGCCAAAACCTGCTGTGCCCTATTACTTTTAGAGGTGGGTAACTTGACCCCCAACTATGATCCCATGGCAGGTTGTACAGTATTGTATGGAGGAACATGGAACACTCCCATTCAGGTATCGTCACAAAATCTCTCCATAAAGTAGATGCCTCTGGCACAATGAGAAAAGTTTTGCTAGCAAATAACATTATACAATGTTGTGAAAGACGATAATGGAACCAAAAGAACAATGAATTGTATCTTATCTCAGAAACTTATGACTATGAATGTCCTAAAAACTTCTTCCCATTCACCTCACACAACCACAGAACTACTGCAAAGCAAGAACTTGCACCTCTCTCTCAGAACCAGAATTACTCCTTCCTCCTTCACAATCCCTTTTTTCAAAAGCACACAAGCACACCATGATGTCACTGTGTTATACATAAGTTTGTTATTTTCCATCTGCCTTCATGAAAGATATCATTTTGTCCATCTTACCCAAAGGGCAACTACTAGTAGTAGCGATTTATATACACGGGTGTACAAAAGCCCACAATAAAGACAGATAACCATGGGGGAGGGAAGCAAGAGCTTGAAAATCTCATACCAACAAAACAGAACCTACCATTAAAACTGCTATCAGGGTGCTGTTTAAGAGGCCGAACTACAAAAATAGGAAGCGTGGGACAGACCACCTCTTTAGGTGACCATAAGCACAAACCGCGTTCTCCCAGCTCCAGCCCCCCCCCCCCCCATCTTACAGGCTT